TTTTAAATATATTTTTCAGTATTTAGGTTTACACGCAGTGCCTTTGCACTGGGCTATACATCCTCAGCCCTTGAGCTATTTAAACAGTTTGTTTAAACTTTGAGACAAGGCCTCCTGCATTGGTCTCCCTAGTGCTGAGATTATAAGCATGTGCCAGTGCGCTCAGCACAAGCTAGTATTTTTATTGTTGTTTTGTTTTGGTTTTTTTTGAGACAGGATCTTGCTGTGTATCCTAGGCTGGCGACAGATTTATGGTGATCCTCCTGGCTCAACCTCTGAAGTGCTGGGATTACAGGTGTGCACTGTCACTCCCGGCTTACAATTTAGTATTTTTACAGTTGTGCAACTATACCCACAATCCATCTTTATAACAGGACACATTTGAGTACCAGAGTCTATAGTTTTTAAATCACTTTCAGGTATATCTGTGTTGCTTGCCCACCATATCAACAGTATATAATACCAAAAGTATCCGCTGTCTAAAGAATTACATTTCAGCTTCTTTTTGAAATGTTGTTTTGGTTTTGTAAATATGTTTTCCCCACTCTGCTTACAACAACATGTTTTTTTTGTTGTTGTTGTTGTTTTTTTTTTTTTGGTTTTTCTCCGGTACCAGGAACCGAACTCACGACCTTGCGCTTGCCAAGCAGGCGCTTTTGCCACTGAGCTAAATCCCCAGGCCCTACAACAACATGTTTTGTTTGATTGTTTTAGAGTAAGAAAGGTTTATTGGGGACTGAGAATAGGCCTAAGAGACAGGAGGGGTCCCAAGTGAGTTGCCACTGAGGTAATTTCTCCAATAATGTTTTATAGGGCAAAATCATGAGTTGGGTACAAAGTGGATCAAACTGTAAGCAACCAATAGGATTACAAATATAGCTGCTTGGTTTTTGTCGATCCAGTAGGGAAGTGAGCATGTAGCAAGGGAACATGGTTGACATCATTAACCTTGGCATATCTATGATTTCTAAAACAAGAACATTTTGGGGAAGAGGTGGATCAGAATAGTGTTCTGGCAACAGGATTTTGAGCACTTCTTTCACAATAGAGATGTCTGTTGGAACACTAACGAGAAGGGTGGTTATCCCGCTCCTGTATCTGTTGTGATCTGAATAGAAAAGAGGACCACAGTTCTTGTGGAGAGCGTGAAATGTGTTGCAGATAGTCTGGACCAGCACTGGAGCCTGGAGCAATGGGTGAAATGGAGTCCAGCTGGAGTGGTGTCAGCTTTAACACTGGGCCCTTTCCCTGGATGCTCCTTTCACTGTTAGTGCTTGTCTTTTCGCTACCTTTCCTTTGTGTCTTTTTTTTTCTTCAGTTTATGAAGTGAGCATTAAGATTTTTCTTGTCCTTTTTTTTTCCTGCCTGTCTTTGCAGAAAAGTTCATGTAAATGTGACTTTTACAAACATACCTGTGTGACTTGTACTCAGGTATGTACAGCCTCAAAAACGTGCTTATGTTCCCGTTGGCTTGGGCTTTTTAGCTATGAGCAGAGTCAAAACATGTGCTTCAGTACATGAAAAGCTTCAGATTTTCTGTGTAATGCCTAGTTTGGGATATAATAAATTCTCTTTTTACTCTTGGAGATACATCTTCCTACCTTATATTGAGTCACTCATCTGCGTTGTCTGAGCCTTCCATTTTCCCAGCTGTGATTATCTTAACAAAATATTTTTCTTAATTGAAAATACCTTTTTATAATATGTGCATAACAAATTTGCTCTTTTTTCTTTCTCTGTGTAAGAAAACGTAGTCCAGAAAGTGAGAAATGGGTAAACTGAATGGCATTTTGCTTATAATAGAGCTTGCGTGTAGTTCCAGTCATAATGAAGTGAGAATTATGTTAGAAAAAGCTTTGAATACTGTCAGAAAATGATCAAAAGCCCAAATGCTTGCAGGGCTCTGGTTGCCATGGTGACTAAGACTGTTGAAGCAGAATGGAATACTTGGTGGGATTATATAAGGCAGCATCTCGGGTCGGGTTTGAGAAATGCAGCTGTGTCTGCCGGTGCTGTAACTTGTGGTACTTTGCAAAAGCAGAAGCCTCCAAGTCACTAACGATTGGCTCCAGAGAAGCAAATACACAAAGCCATCACAAGCTTCGGAGGCCAGGGCTTTTTTTGTGCCCTGAGAAATTACACCAAAGTGAAGTATAGTGGTCTTAGACAAAAATAATGACAGAAATTATTTTCATTAAATGTGCTGCTAACATTTAAATTGTGAAAGAAA